TGTGGTCTTTTGTGTCTGGCTGCTTTCACTTAGTGTGCTGTTTCCTAGGTTTACCCAGCTTGTAGTGTGTATCAGAACTTCATTCCTTTTCATTACTGAATAATATTCCATTATTTGGGTAGACCACATTTTATTCATCCCCTCATTCCTTAATGGACATTTGGGTTGTTTCCATTTTTTGCTTTTTATGAATAATGCTGCTTTGAATATTTGTGTAAAAGTTTCTATGTGGACATATGTTTTTATTTCTTTTGGGTATATACCTAGGAGTAGAATTGCTATGTCATATGCTAACTCTGTGTTTAATTGTTTGAGGAGCTTGCCAGAGTGTTTTCCAGAGCACTTGCACCATTTTGCATTCCAGGCAGTGATGTATGAGGCTTCTAGTTTCTCTACATTTTCACCAACACACTTGTATTACATCTGTCTTTTTGATTATAGCCATCTTAGTAGGTATGTAGTAGTATCTCATTGTGTTTTTTTGGTTTTGTTTTGGTTTTTAAGAGACAGGGTCTCACTTTTTCACCCAGGCTGGAGTGCAGTGGTGTCATCATAGCTCACTGCAGCTTCCAACTCCTGGCCTCAAGCGATCCTCCTGCCTCAGCCTCCCAAAGTGCTGAGATAACAGGCGTGAGCCACTGCTCCTGGCCTCTGATTGTGGTTTGGATTTGCATTTCCCTGATGGTTAATGGTGTTGAGCATTTTTTCATGTGGTTGGTGGCCACTTAGATATTTTCTTTGAAGAAATGTCTATTCAGATGCTTTGCTCATTATTAAATGTGTTTTTTGAGGGGGAGGGGACATTCTTCTACAGATTAAATTTTCTTTTTATTATTGTAAGGGTTCTTTATATATTCTAGGTACAAGTCCCTTATCATATATATGATTTGCAAAAATTTTTCTCCCATTTTTTGGGTTGTCTTTATACTTAGTCAAAGGTATCATTTGAAGCACAAATATTTTATTTTTGATGAAGTCTAATTTGTTTATTATTTTCTTTTGTTGTTTTTGGTGTTGTGTATACGAAACTATTTCCAAATTCAAGGTCATGAAGATTTGCCTCTATGTTTTCTTCTAAGAATTTTTATAATTTAAGCTCTTAAATTCAGATTTTTGATCCATTTTGAGTAAATTTTTGTATATGTTTTTAGGTAGGAGTCTACCTTCTTTCTTTTGCTTGTGTATATATCCAGTTTTTTCACCATCATTTGTTGAAAAGACTATGTACGCTTTTCCCTGGCACCCTTGTTAAAATCCTGGCACCCTTGTTAAAAATCACTCGACCATATATGTTTGGTTTTATTTCTTAACTCTCAATCCTGTTTCACTGGTCTTTATGTCTGTCCTTATGCTGGCACCACACTGACTTGATTACTGTAGCTTTGTAGTAAATTTTGAAATCGGGAATGTGAGTCTTCCAACTTTGTTCTTTTTCAAGATTGTTGTGTCTGTTCTGGGACTCTTGCATTTCCATGTGAATTTTAGGAACAGCCTGTCAGTTTGGTTATAGGATTTTAAAAACCTGTCCTTTAGATATTAATTTCTGTACTTTATTGTGTTTGGAGAACACATTCTGTAAGATAATGGTCTTTTGGAGTTTTAATATATGGTTTATATTTGTCAATGTTACATGGTGCATTCAAAAAGAATTTGTATTCTCTGTGCTTTAGGTATATTTTATATCTCTTTAACAGCTGGAGTTTATTAATATTTACATTTCTAACGTTGCAGCTCTAGGAAAGAAGGTAGAGATCCCTTGCATACTCTGACCGGTTTCCCCAGTGGTGACATTTTATAAAATCACAGCAGAACATCAGAACTGGGAATTGGCATTGATACAACCCACTGATCTTATTCAGACTTCCCCAATTTATAATATTTGTATGTGTGTGTGTGTGTGTGTGTGTGTGTGTGTGTGTGTGTGCATGTTTAGTGCTCTGTAAGTTTTTCATTTGTGTAGGTTCCAGAATCCACCATTACAGTCAAGACCCACACCCACTTCCCTCCTGCCACCCATCCCCTCCTCAACCCTGATTACTGACAACCAATAATCTGTTCTCCACTTCTAAAATTTTATCATTTCTGCCAGGTGGGGTGGCGCACGCCTGTATCCCAGCACTCTGGGAGGCTGAGGCGAGAGGATCGATTGAGCCCAGGCATCGGAGGTTGCAGTGAGCTGTGATAACACCACTGCACTCAAGCCAGGTGACAGAGTGAGACTCTGTATCAAAAAAAAGGAAACTGAACCCCCCTCCTTTTCCCCACTCATATTAA